AGGATTATAAATAAAGACTTCAAAGACATGATAGTGTAAACACAGGGAATAATTAGCCAGCAGTGACTTTCCAGATATTAATTGGAAAGATGTCTAGTATAAAAGTTTAATAAGCAGTTTAAGATCAAATGTTTGCCAAAAAAGAAAAATTGACTAGTTGTCAAAAGGCACAACTTTGGCAGTCTGAGGTTGATTTTAAGCATTCAAAATAAAAAAAATTGATGTGATCAGCTCACTGAGTATAAACCAATTTCTTAAGCGTAAGCTTCTATTTAAGAAAACTAACAAAGCTCAATATGTAGAGATGAAAATTGATAATTTGCTAATTTATGGTGATTCATAAACTGCTACGTGGATAAGAATATTGTGGATAAGAATATTACATTATAGAAACCAATGTAATCTACATTTGAAGACAGAGCTCAGTTTGTTTCTGTGACAAGTATTTATTAAAGAGAAATACTGCATTGTGCACGAATGAGTAAGTCACAGTCTCTGATCTTGATACTGTACTGACTAATCAGTGTTAAGAGAAGAGTACATGATAAAGTTTGAGTAAATGAGTAGATAGGGGTGGAAAGGAAGGAGAATACAGCAGGTAGGAAACAGAACGCATTTGGTGAAATAAATGTAACTCATTTTAGTTAAACATAAAGTACTGGAAGAGAAGTGGTAAGAGGTGAAGACAGAAATTAGCAAGTTCCCAATAAAAAGGGGTCTTAAAAACTTTGTTAAGCAATGGGTCTCTTTTTAAGGGTCTTGCAATACACTGTGAGGATTTACGTGAATTATTAGATTTTTATTTGGAAAGATCAGCTTGATCCTTCTATAGAGAATGGATTGGAAGAAAGGGTAGCAAGACAAAAGATGAGTCCTCTTCTATAACCTAAGTGAGAACTGAGGGTGCTGGAGCCAGGAAGATGGCAGCACACCTAGAAGGAAGAATGGTTGATGAGATATTTAAAGCTGTGATCCTTAGGACTCAGCAATAAATTTTATGTTTGGGGCAAAGAGAACAGAGTCAAAGAAGATACACCCTATTTTGAGTCTAGACACAGGAGAGGCATCAGACTCAGCCAAGGAGCACTAAAGTGCATTTAGTGGTACTCTTTTGGAGCTTGGATTGTCTTAGAATACACAAGAAATCCAGGACACAGAGAGCTGAGGTTTAGAAGACAGAGCTGAACCTAAACATTTAGATTTGTGCATCATGATAGATGGCACCAAAGATGATAACGCCATCCTGTAACGAGAGAGATGGACTTGGGAGTGAGAAACATTGAAACATGAATGATAAAGAAAAAAGAAGGTGAGAACAAGTGATAATGGAACAAATGGGAGGGAAACTGAAAGGGCTGGTGTTGGACAAGGAAATGAAAATGCACATGTCACTGAAAATAAAGTGCCCATATAAGGGCCAAAGGAATCCCCAGTGGATTTGGAGGGGAAAAGTAAGTAGAAGTTGAAGTAGAAGCCATGTGAGTGTGGACAACATTTCCTATAAGTCCATCTTCCATGCAAAAGAAGAGGAATTAGCATGGAGCACTCCTGACTAGGTATGATTTATATGTAGAGATACTATGCATGGCTTGACTCATCAATTTGTTGGTTTTTAAAATGAGTTGGCCATAGCTTACGCAGATGTGAAATAAAGGAGGGTGAAAGTGCTGAGTGTAGGTTAGAATATTTTACAAGGTCTCTGAGGTGGAAAAAATAGAATCCAGGACACTGATGATGGGGTCAGCATAAGATGATCTTCGAGGGCTGCCGAAACAAAATGTCACCAAAGAAGTGGCTTAAACAAAAGAAGCATACAAGAAACCCACCTTATTCATAGATTTGTTACATGTGGTTTTGAACAAGCATGGTCAAAAAATGATAAATTGGCTGAGTAAAATTCCATTGTGTATAAATACCACATTTTCTTAATCCATTAGTCAGTAGTGGGGCATTTGGCTGTTTCCATAACTTGGCTATTGTGAATAGTGCTGCAATAAACATGGGTGCCTCTGGAGTAACCTGAGTCACATTCCTTTGGGTATGTCACTAAGAGTGAGAAAGCTGGATCATATGGCAGATCTATGTTTAGATTTTTAAGAAGACTCCATATTGTTTTCCAGAGTGGTTGCACCAGCGTGCATTCCCACCAGCAGTGTACGAGGGTTCCTTTCTCCCCACATCCTTGCTAACACCTGTTGTTTGTGGTGTTTTGGATGATGGCTATTCTAACAGGGTGAGGTGGAATCTTAGTGTGGTTTTGATTTGCATTTCCTTTATGGCCAGAGATGGTGAGCACTTTTTCATGTGTTTTTTAGCTATTTGAATTTCTTCTTTTGAAAAAGTCCTGTTTAGTTCAGCTGTCCATTTCTTTATTGGTTCATTGATTTTGGGAGGTTAGTTTTTTGAGCTCCCTGTATATTCTGGCTATCAGTCCTTTGTCTGATGGCAAATATTTTCTCTCACTGTTGGTGGTCTCTTCAGTTTAGAGACCATTTCTTTTGTTGTGCAGAAGTTTTTTTTAATTTCATGTAGACCCATTTGTCCATCCTTTCTCTTAGTTGCTGAGCTGCTGGGGTTCTGTTGAGGAAGTCCTTGACTATACCTATTGCTTCCAGAGTATTCCCTGATCTTTCCTGTACTAACCTCAGAGTTTCTGGTGTGATATTAAGTAACTGGAGAGCATCATCCTGAGTGAGGTTAGAAGAAGACCAAAAATCATATGTTCTCCCTCATATGCGGACTTTAGATCTAGGGCAAATGCAGTAATGTTGTTGAACTTGACTCACACGCTAAGGGAGGAGCACATACAAGACGAATGGGGATAGGTAGGAAACCCAAAACTTGAAAGTGTTTGATGTCCCCACAGCAGAGGAGCTAATATAATAACCTTAAAATGACAGAGGTCAATATGGGAAGGTGACTGGAAGTAGTGAAGAGGTCAGGTAGAGATGAACCAATTCGGGTTGTAATACACTTGTGCATGGAAGCAATGATAGGAATCTCTCTGTATAGCTATCCTTATCTCAACTAGCAAAAATGCTGTGTCTTTCTTATTATTGCTTACACCTTCTCTTCAACAAAATTTGAGAAAAGGGCAGAACAGGTTCTGCCTGGAAGCAAGGTGGGTAGAGGGGAGAGCGAGAAGGGGGAGAAATGGCCCAAACAATGTATGCACATGTGAATAAATGCATAAAGAAAATAATAATAATAATAAATTTAAAAATCCAAAGAAATGTCAAAAGAGTAAAAATTTCCAGGTGCAGATTAAGCATCTCAATGAATGCAGGGAAGCTCTCCATCATTCCTATGTTATCATTAGTTATGTTTAAATCATTGAGTGATTTGCAGAGTGTTTCTCTACCCTTAATTTTGTGAAAATCTGCCTCTCAAAAAGCAAATGGTGCCCCCAAAGCATAAGGAACTGTGTTTCACTGAAGTGGTAGAGTGAGAATCTGAGATTTGTTGGGTGGAGTTATAGGAAAATTGAATCAAGCATCCACAGTACAGCACTGAGCTCTATGCATCCTGATCCTGCACGGTTTATCTCAAGGCAGTCTCCTTGAAACCAGACACCAGTGGAACCAGGGTCTTCTGCATTTTCTCATAGTTCTGGCAGCTAGAAGTCTGAGGTCAAGGTGTCTGCAGCATTGTTTCCTTCTGATGGCCATGAAGGAGGAATCAAGTTCACTTTCCTCTCTTTGGTTTGCAAATGGCCGCCTGTTCCCTGTGAATCGTCAGTTTTCCCTCTGTTAGTGTCTGCATCCAAATTGCCTCCTTTTTTTTTTTTTTAATAAGGACAGCAGTCATATGGGATTAGGGACTTGCCCTAGTCAGGTACAACCCCCTCCTAACTTAACTCTATCTTCAAATAAGATCATGTCCTGGGAGACAGGATTAGTACTTCAACAGTAGGGGCAGGGGGGATGCAATTCCAGCTGTAACCGTTGAGAAAAAGGACATTTCTTCCATCATAACATGAAGGAAATAGAAGTATAGGTGAGTCTGCATGTAGATTTCATAGCAAGAAGTTTAGGAATTTCCATTTGCCTTTTATTTTCTTTGAAATGGAGACAAAGTCATTGGAAGGGAGGGAGTCAGAGCTGGAAGTTAAAGTTTCCTAGGGGAGATTTGAAAGAGCCATGGCAACAAATGAAAGAGAAGGCTGACCAGGGAGACCATTAGCAGCTTTGACAGCTACTACTACATCAGCCTTTAAGTAGAGGAAATAATCAATTATTCAGTGTACCCTTTAGATAATAATGTAAACTCTCATGGGGAAGGCTACTGAGGTTAGATGATGGCTTACAACAAAATACATGCCAATTTCACTAAGGAAAAGCTATTCTCAGATTCATGAGTCAGCCTCCTTTTGGAGTGAAATGCTAATTTGTGGGTGATCATTTTTCTTTTATAACTGAAACTATACATAATTAGAATTTCTACTAAAACATTTAATGTGATTTCCTTCCTCTCCTATTTTATCCTTGAAGGAAAGAGAGAATACCTTATGCATCTGTCTGTATCTAAATATCCCCCAATATTTCTTGATGCTGAGGTTGGGGTCAGTACCCAGTGAGCATTCCTAGAATTGAATTTCAGCAATGGTCACTCACGGAGTGCCCAGTTCCTATTGAAAGTAAATTTTCTCAGAAAACTTGGTCCAACGGTACATTTTTTCTAGAAAAGGAAGGTGTGAGATTCATGTACACTAGTAACATTCATGCATAATTGTGAAATATAAAAACATTCATGATGACTTGAACCTTTCGAAGAAATGTAAAGTAGTCTGGTCTCCAGTCCCATGAAAGCTTAATTTAGCCTGTGTTAAAATGGCAGTATTGACTTAGTAAACTTATTCATGTGTTTTTCTTTATAAAAATCTACAAAAGGCATCTATTTAAAAATCACATACGTACAGCAATGTTTTCATGCATCAATGGACAGAAATAGTAAATTAACAAAAGAAATGAAGATATATTGTGTTTTATCTTGTTTTTCAGAGTGATTATGTACTTAATTTTTTCCTCTCTGAGCCTGTACAACAAACAATTGAAGAATCTGGACTCATGGACCTAGGCAAGTAAATTTATCATTTACCATAATTACTGTCGGCAGGGGTTGAGTTTCAAGATAGTTGTGCCATGTGTGTGTGTGTGTGTGTGTGTGTACTTTCAATTTTCAAATATAATTTCTTTTTAGTATGAATGCCTTAATAGTTATTTCTACCCATTTCCAAAGCTTTTTAATGTCTTAGAATAAGGTCTTCAAGTTAAATTATTCTTTTGGTTTTTGGTGGTACTGGGGGTTGAACTCAGGCCTTCATGCTTGTAGTGGGACAACTCTCCCACTTGGGCCACATCTCAGATCTTTTTGTTGTTTTTGAGATAGGGTCTCTTTTTATGACAGGGTCAGCCTGGACCATGATCTTCCAATTTATGCTTCCTGTGTAATTGGGATGAGAGACACATACCACCACACCCAGCTTTTATTGATTGAGATGAAGTCTTATAGACTTTTTACCCTGGCTGGCCTAGAACCTCGATCCTCCTGATCTCTTCCTCCAGAGTACCTGGAGTTATGGGTGTGAGTCACCTTGCCTGCTTCTTCAAGTTAAATCAAACCCAGGTTCAATTGTCTAATTGTAATAGCTCCATGATGTCACACCATTCACCCATTTCAATTAATTGAGCATTGGGTTAAAAACGCTTATCAGAGACACAGTCTCTGTTTTCCCTGTAGGTAAGTCTTGAAGTTCAATCCACATCTTATTTATTTACTGGTACAGGGGTTTGAACTCAGGGCCTCACGCTCAGCCAGGCAGGCACTCTACCACTTGAGCCACTCCATCAGCTCAATCCACATCTTAGGAAGCAACAAAAGTAAATACTAGTAACAATGGTCATGAGTTATCCAGCATTTTCACTCCTATCTTTTTTGCATGGTTTTGATTAGCATATATTAAATCGTACATAGGAAAGGGCTTCATCATGACATTTCCATAAGATGCATGCAATGTTCTTTGAACAGATTCACCAGTGATACTACTTTCTTATTACCCCTCTCTTTCTGCCTTTTACTTTCACGACTCTCCTTCCTTCAAAAAGTCTTATCAGGAGGCCAAAATGTACCCTCACAACCACCCTACTCTCATCCAAGCGTATACCCTGCTAATTCTAGTTTACATTTCCATTATCTCTCTTAGATTGGCAGAGACTGTTTTTTGAAATTCCTATCAACTTTAAGCATTTGTAATATAATTCCATTACAAGGACTGGTCACTCAATAACACATCAGTTTTGCTCTCAAGATTTATAGACCTACAAGTTGCCATTTCACTGGCTTTTCCGAGTCTTCATTTTCTCCATATCTACTTCCTCTCCACAAAAGTTAGTGAGACCCCCATCTTGATGAATAAGTTGGGCATGGTTGTGTCTTCCTGTAATCCCAGCTATTCAAGAAGCACAGGTAAGAGGATGGTAGTTCAGAGTCAGCCCTGGGCAAAAACTGAGAACCTATCTTAATAATAACTAAAACAAAAGAGGGCTGGGGTTGTGGCACAAGTGGTAAAGTGCCTCCCTAGCAAGCAAGCACAAAGCCTTGAGTTCAAACCCAGTAACAATAAAAAAAAAATACTGTTAGGTGGAGAGATGTTTTTACAATCAATATTATAAAGTTGAAAAGTCCAGATTTTGAAAAAAGAAGCTAGAGTTTGTAGTATTGTAGAGATGTTACAAAAACATTACTAGGTGGGCCCCTATTTATGTCATTAATGTCCCTCAAGACAATTGTTTCTTCATTTCAAGAAATTAAACTTTAAGCCAGGCATGGTGGCTCATGCCTATAATCCCAACTACTCTAGAAGCAGAGATCAGGAGGATCACAATTTGAAGCCAGCCCCGTCAAAAAGCTCACAAGGCTCCTTCTTAATCAATAACCCAACCAATACCCAACTGTCATCCCAGCTACTCAGGAAGTATAAATAGGAAAATTGCAGTCCAGATCAGCCCAGACATAAACACGAGACTCTATTCAAAAACTAACTGAAGTATAAATGGCTGGGGGTGTGAATAGAGTGGTAGAGCACCTGCTTAGCAAGCAAGGGCTGCCAAAAAAAAAAAGAAAGAAATTAAACTTCATATCACTATCAAAATTTTAATTTTACTCATAGTATTATTTCTCTAAAAGGTGTTTTGAAATACATATGCACACAAAATTTTAGGATTTTATTATAAAAATTAAGATGAGTAAGATTTTTTAAAATCTCTTACATCATCAATACTGAAGACTTATTTCAGCAGTGATGAATGACAAAAAGGATTTGGTCCTGAACATTTTCAAATTACAGGCTACATGTTAAATATAACATAGTATCCTAAAACAATACAACACATCTTCCAAGCGGAATATGCAAATCACTTACAACAAGCAAGCATTTGCAGGAAGTTGTTCTTCCTGCACTCTTCAAATGTGTTCCTCCTTCACGCTTCTGAATATTTAACTTTTTCGTCTCGAGTATGTTAAATATGGCTAACATAGGACAATCATTTGTGAAAATCTAGCTTTGCCATTTGGCCACCTCTACTAGAGGGAAGGTTCTGGATGCCTATGTATCTAGGCAATGACTTCACTGATCACAGTAGTGATGGTGTCTTACCCTGAGTGTGGGAGATAAGAATAATCGAATAAGCCTTTGCTTCTACTCACTAACTAAACATGCCTTGGTAGAGCATTAGAATTTTTCTTTTTCAAGTGCCAATCCAGGCATATCTCTCCTCTACTAAAATCTGGGCTGCCCCTGGCCCTTAGGCAAGGCCAACTTCACAACTTGAGACCTGTGCAGCCTCACAGAAAGGGCCTGTAATTGGCTCTGCTTGAAATTCTTGATAAGTTTTGAAATACAGTCCCCACATTTTTATTTTGCACTGGGCCTCACAAATTTTTTAGCTGGTCCTGTCCTTAGGATAAAAGTCCTAAGTCCCCATTATGGCATCCCACCAATTTCCCTTTCTAGTGCACTGTCAGGGCCTTTCTCATCTCCATAAGTGTTAAAGTGCCTGCTGAACAGACAGAAAGCCCTGAGTTCAAACCCCAATACCTGCAAAATAATGGCAAGAGAGAAGAAATCAACATCCCAAATCAGAGTATTCTTCTCTCACTCAGCACTTCACGTTGAAAAGTCTTGTCATAAGAAAGTAGACACCTCCCAACCACAAGCATTCTCTTAGAGTATCACCTAGGGGAAAAGCAAATATTCTACAGATTATTACATTAAATATTATGGGTATCAGATCAACCAAACCACTAACAGGAAAGTTGCTAGATTGTATCTTAAGCATGTATTTTTAACCCTATTATGACATGGTCGTGTGTAATCTCCAAAAAAAAATTGTTGTCTCCCTGCTCATCAGCTTTACATTACTGTAATAAAATGCCTGATGCAATCAAATTTTAAAAAGGAAAAATTCATTTTGCATCATGGTTTCACGGATTTCAGACCTTAGTCATTTGGCCATGCTGCTTTTGGGTCTGTGGCTAGGAAATAGAACAGGGCAGGAGCATGTCATGTTGCAAAGCTGTTCATGTCATGGCAGGTAGGAAGAAAAGGGAAAGAAGAGGAATACAGTGGGTAGGGTCCCGATATCCTCATGCAGGGCATGCCCTCAGTGACAAGACTTCTTTCCAATAAGCCCTACTCCCTAAAGGTTCTACAACCCCCATGGGTTGAGCGCCAAGCCTTCACTCGTGAGCCTTTGAAGGACACTTGTTTAAACCACAGCAACTGCCATGCCAAAAAAAATACTTTGACACACAATAATCAAATGAAACAATCCATCCACCAGGACTACAAAAATAGACATGCCAAACACAGATGTTTGTCAGGGTACAAAATAACATAGATAATTGAGTAGAACATGATCAAAGACAGCAATCACCAGGGTTAAGAGGATGAAGTGTCGAGCATGTTTAGACAACATCGATAATTACAAATGGCTGCAAGCACAAACCTCGGTCGTTTCTTCACATCGCTTCTACTTTCACTTTGAGAACTTCATTTTAAAGGAAACTTGAAACCATGAGGCCCCCATGGCAGGGTGTTACTGGTTAACGGTCCAGCTTCTTGCTCTGGAAGAAACCAGATCAATTATCCATAAGTTGAATTATGGAGCTCAGGTTTCCAACTTAAATTTTAAGGATAACTTGTTTGAAAGAAAGAGTTAAGTTCTGATGTTCTCTGGCATAGCAGACTTAATATAACTAACAATAGCACTTTATATACCTGAAAATGCTGAGAGGGGCATTTGAATGTACTCACTGTATAAATGATAAACATTTAAGGTTATGGATATGCTAATTAATCATTGAGTTGATCACTACTCAATGTATACATGAATTTAAACATGGCATTGTACCTCACAAATATGTACTAATATTGTGTATCAATTAAAAACAATAATAACAAAATAATGACAGAAAGAAAAAGTATAGGACTATTTAGAAATAATTACTTGTATTAAGTTGTTTAGAAATGTTCATTTGAAACCTTTAAAATAGTCATTTTGCTTTATCATGGTTGTAATTGAGAATATATTTTAAACTTGTTGGAAAGAAGATGAATTAATGGCTTTCTCTCAGTTATTTCATCTCTAACAGCTGCGTGTCAAAGGATATCACTCAAGCCTAAGACACTGTGAAATAATAAATTTCAGCATCCATGCTATTAATATTAGAGAAATTCTGAGAAAGATCACAGCATTGAATATCATCAGGTAGTAGATGAAAATAGCAAGAAAAATTATGCACATTAACTTGATCTTTGATTCTATTAAGAAACAAATATTGTCAAAAGAAATAAAAGCTAAGGCTATTAAACAAAGGTAAATAATTATACAAAATAACAACTTTCCTAAGTATCACAAATGCATAAAAGCAAAAACAAATTACATAGTGAAAGACATTCTTTAAAAACCATAAAAATAGAAATATAAAGCAGTAAGTTAGATTTAAGAGAAAACATATCAACGAGTGTGAATGAGCTTAACTCATCTACCAAGAAAAGGTTTTTACAAACTGGAGTA